CGTTTATTAATTTAAAAGCAATGTACAGTTATTGATTACCATTTTTTTGGTGGAATTTCAACGGAATGCGCCACTATAGAAGGCGTTAGTATAGGGGTTCGTTACTTACAAAGAGATTGCGACAAAGCACTGTAGGGTACGAATATGCTCTAGACGGTCGTAAGTTCATTGAAATCAGGAAGAGTTGAGAAAGATGATGGGTGTAAAGAGCACATCTCTCTGTGTTTGGGTTTCGTTTGTCCTACTTTGGTTGACTCGAAAATGTATACAGAAGCCGACGCAGGATGCGAACAAGTGCCGTTATCTGTTAAGGAGAGCGCAAGGTGAACGCCTCCGCGCGTGTTGTGTGCTTTTATACTCTGATATGCATGATTTGTAGTCGACGTACTTATCGCGATGCCTGCCGGTGCAGTTTTAGTTGTTTGATGCTTTCAGAAGGCAGAGATAGGAAACAGACTTGAATTCACAGCGGGGGAAGGTAGAGCGACGTTGTAGAAATACACCGGTGGTAACACTATATTATGATTGAAGTAAAGTATTGTCCGTTTGCAGTTCATAGTGTATTCGTATACTAGTGCAGCAAAGTGAGTAGGGGAGAGAATATGAGAGTTGGTTCGCCCTTTTAGGCGACTGCTTGTGGAGTGGGGGCCGCTGAACCGAAGAGCTCAGTATCTGATGCACCAGAAGCAGCAATACGAAGTACCTGATGCTGCAACAGCTCAAATATATAGCTGGCGCTGCAGCATCAATGCTGAGTAGATTGCGTTGCTGCAGGAGCACTAGTAACAGTTTCCTTTGTAGCTTGGAGTGATAAAGCGTTTGATTTCCGAGAGACCAGCCCTGCGAAACAGTGCTCCTTTCTGCACGCATAGGGGCTGTGCTATAATAATGTTTGTGCATGAACCTAAAAGCTATACTGTTGTCAGATACTTAGGATTTGGAGTGTAAGTGAAAAGGAGAGATGGAGGATGACGTACGCAGGCTTCACTTAATACTGCAACAGCAGTGGCCTGCAGGAAAATAGTGCACAACAAGTCGCCTAAAAGGTAAAACTGCAACACAAAGTGCCAGTCAGCGTGACGCTTTTTGTTGCACTACACCAACACAAAACTGGCACGCTGGCTGGGAGATAGCGAGGCAAGCTGGGGGTTGAGAGGGCAACACGGAGGCTAGTCAAGAAACATCAACAACGCGTTCACGGACTGGAAAAAAAGAATAAGAAAAATGAGAATAAGAAAAATTACACTGCAGTTGTCAACGAACAAGCAGCAAAACTAGGTAGGGGGGGGCCTGCGCAAGCAGAAAACACCAACTAAAACAGATACTGCTGCAAAAAGCAACATTGTACAGGAAGAGTATTGAAAAATTGAAAAGTTGCAGCGAGACAGTTAAGAGATATCGAAGAGTAACACTATTACAACTTGAAACAGAGGTCTGCTTCATGAAAGAGAGAGCAGATTCTCATGTAAACCACCGCAAAAGCAAGCGCTTGCATATGCAGCAGCTGTCCTCCA